ACATATTTACGTATTTACAAACAATTATTGTATTAAGTAGAACATTAAACAAAATGTTTATAAAAATGAAATAATTTGCGTTCGAAGCGTCAATAAAAATCATAATTTCGCAATTTTTCAACAGGAAAGAAAATAACTCAATCGCGTTCAAACGAGTTGAATTGCACGCAAAGATAATAATTGAACAATTCATTTCTAGCACAATGGAGCCTCGGTGAAAATCCCCGCTTACATTCGTACTGAAATGCATATAAGTGAACTCATGCACTCACACACCTGCACAACACGTAGCCCAGTATGGCACATGTACGCGCATAGCTGCCAGTTGTTTGAATGTATTTGTATGGGAGTCTTGCTGCACCGTACCAACCCTGTTTTTGTGAATATTTTCTTTTTTTCCGTAAGCTACCTCGTAGTAGTTGTAGTTACATTGCATTTATATTTACATTACTTATCAACATATTATTATATACACATAAATACATACATTCAATATAAACAAAATTGCATTTTAATGCATATAAAATATTCTATAATTATAAAGCTTTTTTTTGAATTGTGAAAAAATCATGAAATAAATATAATATTTAATTTTTCAAAAAATTCATATATTTTCTTTAATTTAAATAAGCTCAAATGAACAAATTATGTATTTTTATTATAAAAATACAATGAATCAGATTAAAAAGCTATAAAAACTTAAAAAATATGATAAATATTAATACTTATTTCTGAAAAAATGTACAGCGAAATTTATTACAAAATATTATTATTTAAAAATATATATTTACTCAATTTTTTATTTGTGGTAACTAACTATTTGATAATACAAAAACTTATTTTAAATAATTCAAATTGAAATAATTTTTGAAAATTCGTGAAATCGGTTTTAATATGGTTCAACATAGCGTATGAGTAAAGAAACAGTACTGAACAGTTTGAGAAGGCTTAGGGAAATACAGTAAAGATCAACTATTTGTTTCTTTGTAAGTATGTTCATTCCAAAATATTACTGGATTAGAAAAGACTTCTCTCAATTATCAATCTTTCTCTATTTGAAGTAGATTTCTTGTCATAAGACATAAAATTTATAATTAAAAATGTGTTTTCTTGGTTATAGCATGCGTAGACTATGGGTGAGTGAGGGAATAAAAACGATTTCAATTAATGTGATCTTCTTCTTTATAAATAGATGCAACTAAGACTTATTCTGCTATTAGGAAAATTAAGAAAAAAGTGAGCTATTGTGAGAAAATATTAAGTTATTTAAACGTATTGGTATCTTCACAAAAATTTTAAACATATCGTATATATTAATGAATTTAAATAGACTTTTGTGAACAAAATATTTATAATTAAAACTTAATTTTATGTTTAAATTTTAAGTAGTATTTAACTTCATTAACATAAAGAAATTCGTGAATTTAAATAATATATACAAATATTATGTATAGTAGAGGAAATGTCAAGAAAAGAGTTTTTAATATTTGCCTGCATTTTATTAACACAAATACTGTAGTTTATTACTCATACGACTTGTATCATTTTAAAAATATTGGTTAAATTTAAAAGGCGCTAATTTTAGATCTGTTTCACGAAATACAAATATTGAATAAAATGTAATAATACAAACAATTGTAGTTTATTAAAACGGTAATATAATATATGAAAACAAAATAATATATTAAAAATTAATATTTTATCTATAAAAACAAAATAGTATATTAATATATTTTGTTTTATGCACAAATTAATATTAATATTACTATTATAAAAAATATAAATATATAGTACAATATAGATATAAATATATAAAATAAATATTTTTTTAAGATGCTGTCTAATATACTGTCTTTTATTAATAAAAATATGCAATTAATTTCAGAATAAAATATTAAGAAAATTATATATGTCATTTTAAAATATTTAAATAACTGTTATTTCAAAAAAATTGACAAGTGTACAGACAGTTTTGTTACATCATAAATTTACAATAAATTCATTTTAAGTTATTATAATTATTTATAAGTTTATTCGTAGTTAAGAACTTTTAAGTAGTGAAATTTTATTTCAAATTTAAACATTCAACTTGGAAGCTCAAAGAGATTTATGAGTTAGTTGTTTCAAAATGTAATTCAAATAGTAATTTTTGTATTTTCTATATAATTACAGATAATTTTTTAGGTAAAGTTTTTTAAGAGAAAAATATTTTTATATGACATGTAATTTACTTATTTTATATGAGAGTTATTTAGAATTTTTATATGCTATTATATGTATAAATATTTTTTGATTTTTTCACAAACAGAAACTTAATTTAACAATTTTCGTAATTCGCATTTTAAATATGTAGTTACCATATCAATTTTATTATATCTAATATAAATAATTTAAAACGTATTCTGGTTTAGTCCATATAACTAATTATATTTGCATTAATTTACTATAAATACAAAATAAAATTATTTTAAATAAATCTTTAATAATTTACTAACATTATTTTGCTAATATAAATACATATTTCACTACTTTAATTTGATAACTTGAATATGTTTTTGTTTTCTGATTTCTATTTTAATTTTAATTTAAATTGTAATTGAATTCATTATTGTCAGCAGTTTGTAGTATATTAAAATTAATACTAAACATTATATTACAGTAACGTTATTCATAACTATTTATGTATACTCTTTTATACTAATTTTATTAATTAACATTACATTTATTTGATAACATCGCACCATAACAGAGAGAGCGATATTAGCGCTACACATTGCAACATACAATTAACATTTTTACAGTCACTGTAGTGAGAAAGCTAATGAGTTTAGTCGGTAACTAACATTTTTACATCGAAATTTAAATTTTTAATTACATCAACACATGTAAATATGTTTCATCAATATTTGCAATATTTTTATTTACTTATTGAGTATATTTAACCAATTTTTATACACTTAATATATTATTTATTAATTCAAAACATTTTTTTAATACACACACATTTTAAAAATAAAATTTAATTTTATAGGTAAATAGTTATTTTTACTTAGCATTAAACTAAAGCATTTAAGCTATGGATATTGTTCAGTTGATTTATATATGCTGAAATGTAGTTTTTGAACGTTTGCTTGACATAGTTTAGTTCAACAAATTATTAAAATCTCTTAATTTTTTCTTAGAAAACTTGTATGTTTTTCTTTAATTAAAAGTTTCATCCATTGAATGTTAATATGATTTAATAATCCAAAATTTTTTGATGGTTGTTTTTAAACAAAAAGAATTTTTTTATGTTATTTAAAACTATTTTTTATGTAGCTGATTTGCGGCACAAATCTGTTGCCATCCAGCAGATTCTGTTCTATTTTATTCACAGAGTGTATTGCTTTTACTAAGCTTTAATATATACTGATTCATTCGATAATAGTATATGAAGACAGATCCTTTAATCAGTAGTTCTTAAATTTATAGCGAATTGTAAGGTGTGATTTGGCTGTTGTGCCAGTATAGGATTCCATCTCCCTCGCTGCGGTTTAAATTTATAGCACTGTGATCACCTTGTATAATATTTCCTCTTAATTCTCCTAATGCATAGCTTAAGATCATAAACCTCTTTGTCACTTTATTATGATGTATATACTTTTAATGAGTTTTCGTTTGATTTTATGAAAGTACTCTTTTGTTCTGAAGGTTGTAAATATCTATTATGATTTACAACAATAAGTAAAATCTATGTAAAATTGATAAATACTAATCGATAATTGAAAACGTTTACAATGGCTTACAACAATATAAGTAATATTTGTGAAGCTGGTAGATACTATTCCATAATTAACAATAACTAAAAGCAATGTCTTTTCCAAAACATAAATTTAACTATTGTTTTTTTTATTTGTGAAAGAAACTGTTAAAAACTTTATATTCTAATAATTATTTAATGCAGTGGATGAAAGTCATGTTACTTTTAACAGAATTCTGTTAGTTTCATGTTGTGTACAGAGATCACAAAAGAAATTTTAGATTTATGATAAAAAGAAGAGATTCATGCGATCTTTTCTATCAGTTCCTATATAGTTTCTTATTTGAAAATAAAATATAAAAAATGTAGAAAATTCACAATGTTTTAATTTGCATGACAAAATTAACCTGATTTATGTGTTCAAAAAATTAAATAAATTTAAGTTTAATAAAGAGTAGAAGATTTCTAATGTGAAATGCATTTAAAGTTTACTCTACGTTACTTCAACTTTAACTTTGAGTTTAATATCTTAGCATTTAGCTTTAATCCAATCAGATTCCAGATGTGTTTTGTTGTTTGCATATATCTATATGTACAACTATATTAAATCTAGACCAAATTCCCAATGTGTACAATATATGCTTAGTGCACTTTCTAAACAAGATTTGAGAAGACTTAACATCACTGAAATGTTTAAAAGTTTCTACCATAATCCATATCAACTCTATAGCTTAGTTGGCTTAAGAAAACATCAATCAGATAATTTATGTGCTCAGTGTGTTTATAGGAGAATTTTAAATGCCAATAAATTTCTGGCAATTTGTGTCATCGATGCTTCAAATTGCTGTTTACCACAAATTTGTGTGTTTCAATCAATGAGGTTTATCAATAAATTTACATAAACATCAAAATATGTCAGCTACATATTAACGAATTTATGCCCTTTGGTTATGAAATTTATTAACCAATCCCCCCTAAACGCTGAAGCAGAGCGTAACTGCCTAACGACTCAATTCACTTTAGTCACTCATGAAAATCAAACGAAAATTTCATTTCATATACAAATACAAATACAAATACAAACACAACGCACACATATATACAACCGCACACGTTGGTATTTTCAGCAACCTCAAAATCAAAGTGAATATACACACAAATAAACACATACGAGTACAGCCTATGCTTAGCATATCGATTTGGCGGTGTTGTTGCTGATTGAACTGGAGAGGACAAATGCAATCAGAGTGTGCAGGCGGCGCTAACATTCGTATTCTAAAATATAAGTTTCGCCGCGTTCGCTGATGTACGTTGGCGTTGCTGCTGGTATTTCGTTGCTAACGCTGCTGGCAATCATTAAAGACGATTGCGGTTGCATTGGTGTAGAAGATTTAACCGAATTTACTTGTGCCAAAATTGTTGACAGTGTATTTGCATTTGACGTGTTTGTCGCGTATGCCGTTAATGAAGAATACTTCGTGTTTGCAGCCGCCGACGAAGCTGACGATGAAGCGGTGGAGGCATTTGAGGAGGCATAGGTATGTACAGATAGATTTTCAGCTGCAGCACCGCTGCCATAGTAGTTCAATACAGTCAAATGTGGTGTAGGCGGTGTTGTTGCTGTTGTTGTTTTTGTTGTTTTTGTTGTGCCTGATGTAGCTGAAAGGTAATTTTGTTGACGTTGCTGCTGCGGCTGTTGTTGTTGTTGTTGTTGTTGCTGCTGCTGTTGATAATATGCTGGCGTCTTTTGTTGCTGTTGCTGTTGCTGTTGTTGTTTGGACTGTTTCTGCGTCTGGTATGCAATGCGTTTGTTCGACATTTTGTAATCAGCGTGTAAACTAGTTGGAGCTGTTGAAGCGGCAACATTTGTTGTTGCACTACTGAGCATAGTGGCAACACTATCATTATGTGTTATCGTTTGTGCACTGCGCAGTGCAATGAAGGTGTCGAAATTATCAGAGGACGATGCATTTGATGCGGTCGAATTTCGGCGTACATGTTGTTGCTGCAGTTGCTGTTGTTGTTGCTGATTTTGTTTTAGTTGCTTATATTTGTATTGTGTGCTAGCCGCATTGCTCAAATGCAATTTGGGCTGTTGTTGTTGATTAGTTTGCGACGTCGATGATGTTGATGATGACGATGTCGATAGCGAAGATGAATTAATTGAATTTGTTGCTGTTTGTTGTTGTTGCTGATAGTGTTTGCGTAAGTTCTCCATAGCGTAGCGATTGTTTGTTGTTGCAATTGTTGCTGTTGTTGTGGCAACAACTCCAGCGGATTTACTGTGCTTATCATGCGTGAACACGTAACTCTCTTGCGGTGATAGATACGAAGTTGTTTTTAAAGAGCTCGACAGTGCTGTATTTGCTGCAGCTGCTGTGATTGCTGTTGGCGATAGTGTTGGTGTTGTCATTAGTGTAGCGGCAATTGTAGGTGTTGCTGATGGTTCGGAAATTGTTAACATTGCTGAAACATTTTTCACTTTACTGGCATAAATATTTGATGATGATAATGTTGCTGCCATTGTACCGTTGTCATCCTCATTGTCAACGAAAATGTAACGACTTCCTTTATTACCAGTTATACTATCAGCATTAGCAGCAGCTATTGCCGTTGCTGTTGCCGTCACCGTTGAATTGGAAAATGGCTGAGGGGAGATAAGATTGCCAAACGGTGTTGTTGGCATAGCCGAGTTGTGCATAGCTATTGCTGTTGGACTCATATACTTCTGTCGTTGTTGTTGCTGCTGCTGATTGGGTTGACGATAACGTTCTGTTTGTTGCTGTTGTTGTTGCACTAAGGCATCTTCCGCCGTTTTTACCATTGAGCTCGTTGTCAACAATGTTCCATTACTCGGTTGTATCATAGTAGCTGCTGTTAATTTGTTGGGACTTGCTGGTGTTATTGAGCGCGTTGCAGGGCTTGTAGCAAGCAATTTGAAGTTATCAATGTTGCCATCAAGTGTAATGCCTCCAATGACATTGGCTGCTTCTTCCGTTGTTAAACTATTTCTGTCAAAGCCATAAAAACCGCCATACTCATAGTAACTTGACTGCGCATCCCGTGAGCAGCGCAAATTTTTTGCGGCTGTGGCATTGATTTGTGTTGAGTTGTTGGCATCAATGATTCTTGTTTGCCGCAAATCAATTCTGTCGCTATAATCATGTTCATTATCGTATTCGATTGAATTGGATTTCTTTTTGTGACGATGAAAATGTGCCAAGTAACTTTCATACTTCAAATCTTTGCCGTCCCCATCCAAGTAGCTGTGAGCTGCATCGAAATGTCGCTGCTGCTGGCGTTGCAAATGCTGATTGAGTGAACGATAGAAATTGCTTTCGGCTAAGTTATCATTATAGGCTAGGAAATTGCTTTCGTCAGTATGATGCTCGTACCAATTACTTGCAGGAGTTGACATAAATTCTTGCTGATAATCAACATCCTCGGCAGCATTGACAAGTATACGTATGCCTTCATCAACATTGGATGAGGAGTGAGTGTAATCATCGTTGCTCTCGCTATCGTCATTACCAAAGTAAATATTAGCATCCTTAGCGGCATCGTCGAACAAAATATCTGCTGTGTCATTAAGTTGTAAAGGATAATGAGTTAAGTTCTCAAAAAAATATTCTGATATTTTGGGATGTTCGTAACGTAATTTGCTGGTATCTTCAGCGTTAAGAGTATCATTTGCCGAAGCATCAATACTTTCGGTATGTAATGCTGGAGTGGCTGTGTTGTTGGTGGGTCCACTAAAAACCGAAGCATAATCTGAACTGCTCATAGAATCTGATTGTAGTTTGCGTGCCAAGCGTTCCTGTGCAATTGGTAAGGTGCCCAAGTTCTCATAGTTAGCAATTTGCTGCTTTTGTTCGCAAGTAGCTTTGAACATTGAGTGGCTACGCTTGTGTGTCTTAGTACGTGGTGACTTCGTAGGCTTCGGTGAGTATTGCAAAACATTATTATTGGACTGCTGTTCATCTTGTATTTTACGTTGCAATAGTTCGCGATGTTTAGCCAAACGTGTGCCAGATACTCTGCCAACAGAATGTGCAGACCTTTTTGTTTCACATAAATGCTGGTCAAAATTCTCCTCTAGATAGGCGTCTAGGTAGTGTAAATTTTTGGAGAGATCTATTTCAGACTTGTAACTCTTATAGATAGTGGCGTGCTTACCGACATTTGAGTTCACTTGCGCATGTGCTGCTGCACAGCGCGATTCGTAGTGATTGATATGCATGCGGTCGCTGATGAAGCGAAAGCTGTCGTCTTTGGTGAGAGTACTGAAGCCAGAATCGTGTGCTGATTGCTTGAAATTGCGACACTTGTCTTTAATCCTTTGTATACCTTGCTTTGTTTTCGCTTGCAGACGTTCAAAGTAGGTGTGCTTCTGCGCAACAGCTATGGTAGATTGATAATTATTGGCAACATCACATGCACGTATGCTATGTATGCTCTGAGTGCGATTCGGGTATGTAATCTTAAGTTTCTTCAGTTGTGGTAAAGCATTACTGGCGTCCTTAGTTAACAGTGTACTGGTGTTTGATTTGTGTAGTTTACGCAATGACAAATGTTTTAAAACCGCTTTTGCTTTTTTGCCAGTTTTACTCTCTTTCGGCGTATCGCCATTATTGTAGTAATCCTGTCGTTCGAAGCGGCACACTGGTACACCATACAAATAATGATGTTCTTGCATATACTGCCGCTTTTGTTCTTCTAGGTCGAAAAAACGCCGTATTGAACGTTCGGAGCGGTGTGTCTTTATTGTGCGCTGCGTTGCATTTGAAGCAGTTCGGAGTCGACTATTGATATTTACTGATAGTACATCATCATCGTGAAATATTGAAAATGGATTTGTTATAACGGTGCTATGATCATTATTATCGTTGGGTTCAGCTAGATAACTCGTTGGCTTGAGCACTTGGCCGCTTATATTCGACTGTGCATGTAAACTTGTGGCCATTTCTAAACTACTTACAGACTTAAGCTTACTTACTATGGACTTAGAATCTACTACAACTACTACACTTGCATCGGGCAGACTTGCTAACAACTTGACATCACTATCCGATGTCAATTGATAGTTAAGTATGTCCGTGTCTGACTTAATTTTACGTATACGTTTGCGTTTAATACGTGGCCGTCTCATCTCTTTGAGAGACGTAGACTGCTTACGAAAACGATAGAAGGGATTATTTATGCTTAATTTTTGTAAAAGTGTGCGACTATCTTCATCCACACAATCGTTAAATGCGTACGACATATTCAAGTGTTGTGTAGAACAACTTTGAGCGGTGGTATGTTCAGTCGTTGCAGTCTCATGTCTCTCGTCAGTGTTGCGTTTATTATCAGTGTTGTAAAACAGTGACAACTGAGTGGGTTTTGTTGCAGTGGTTAATGCAGACGGTTTACTATTTAATTCATTTGTTTTGGTATTTAAATTTGAAAATAAAATTTTATTTTTTGCATGTTTGGCGCAGTCAATTTTATTCTCATTACATTGTTGTACATTTTGCTTTTCAGTGTAATTATTGGATTTTTTTTCGGTATTTATAAATGCATTTTTGTTATTACTACAACCATTGCTACTAGTGTTCTTAGGTTTCTTGGTATTATTGACGTTTTTGATAATGTCACAGTGAGTATTTGTGTTTGTGTTCTTCTGTGTACTTAAGCTATTGGAACTGTTTTTGTTGCTTGTCGAGCTGCAATGACTTTCATTCATAATAGTATTTACATTTCTTGTAGTATTATTGTTTTTACAGTTACTCAGTTTTGTTGTTGTTGGGTCAGTGGCGTGTTTTGTTGGCAGTACATTGGTAGTGATGGTAGTGGCTGTTGCTTTCACTTTTAAGTCTTTTGCTAAATCAGTACAGTTTCTTGTTGGCGTATCATTTCTTAAATGCATGTCGTCGTCTTCAGTTTGTCTCTCACACTCGTTACTACTATTACTATTAGTAGAACTACTACTGCTGTTGCTGTTGCTGTTGTTGTTACTACTACTGTTGTTACAACTCGTGTAATGATTTTTTGTTCTTGTCATATCTACGGTGTTGCCAGCTATGTTAATATTATTGTCATTGTCATTGTATTTATTTCTGTTCTTGTATTTGGGTTTGCCTTCATTTTCTTCTTGTGTATTTTGTAAATGTTGGGCGTTTGGTTTGTCTGTCATTGTAATTGTATTGTCATTGCTTTTATTGCTGTCATTATCGTTATCATTATCGTTATCAATATCGCTATCACTATTTTTCTCACTGTCGCTACAGCTGTTCTTACTATCTTTATCTTTGTAGGTTGTTTTTGCTATTTTGGCTATATTACTAACGTCACTTTGATGTGTTTCTACGTCATAATTATCATCTTGCTGATGATTGTTACTATTAACAACATCATTATTATCAACGTCATTCGTATGCATATTTAAGGTATTATTGTTATTGGTCATGGCATTATTATTTATTGCCTGCTAGACCCTAGTAGGTGGCTGTAATATCATTGCAGCCATTCGTACCTTCATTGCTTCAGGAGATCCATGTCCGGGATGCTGGTGATGATGTTGATGATGGAATCCGGCTGGTGTTGTATAAATAGAATCACCCTGGGGACCACTTGTACTGTCGGAACGTGACTTTAAATCAGCTTTTTCACTTTTGAAGTGGAGGTGGTGAACATGAAATTGGAAAAATTTTAGTTTATTATTTTAATTTATAAGCTTAGAAAAAAATTAATCATTTTTAAGGTTGTGTTATTTATTAAATATTAAACTAAAAAAACCGTGTTTCGGCAAAAAATTATGCCAATTTTTGTGAATATCGTCTATAGACACGAAGAAGAAAGTGACGTTGGTCGTAAGATTCTAAATAGCAGATTAATAAAAAATCAAATGGTCTAAATTGTATCGACAACAATAATTCGACTTTGGAAACTTTGTAACAATATTACATTTCTTTGCTAATTTGAAAGCCATATCTTAATTTTATGACTACTCACATAAACTTTTCATTATAATATATTATTTGTATTTTTTAGAAATTCAGCTAGTTTAATTAAGTCATATCTTTTAAGCTATCTAATAACTATATATGTGGGAAATGTTTCAAATTATTTAAAAATAAGTCATTTTTTTTTACAACTGGACTGAATTCCTGTAATTATACAATTGAAAATAAAGATTACTAAAATATCATGAAATCAGAAGACTATTCCTTAGTTCAGGATATGGAAAAATAGGATGGGAAGATTTAAGCTTCAATGTTTTCTAAAGTATATAAAATAAAGAAAGATAACTCTACATAAAGAGTTAAAGCATATTTAGATTTGTTGTGTCTGTTATCTTCTATAGATTTAATAACACTACCTTATTTATTTTTGAAACATGTTTTTATTATTTTCAAAATATTGATTTTTTTATTGTTATTTAATTATTATTAGATATATTAAGAATTATTTAATAGTTATTTCATGTAAATTAAATTATGTTCTGCTTTTTTAGGCGAAACGCACGATATTTATTTAAAATTAAATTTTGTCACTCATACGCCACGAGTCCATTTTAATATAGTTGACTTTGAAATTCTAATATAGATAAACAGTACATGACAGAAACGTGTTTCTTTTTTTTTTGAATATATTTAAAAAATAGAATTTTTATTAAAAAAATGTTTTAAAAAATCAAATTTTTAATGTATGTTAACAGTTATTGAATCGTGCAGTCATATATAAAATCAAATTAAATATATAATGTATAATATTATATGAAGTGATGTACCTAAAAACTTGTGTTTTGTGGTGAAATTTTTTAATAATGTATTTTATGTATACTGTCTAGCATAACAAGTACATGGATTCGGTTTAAATGACATTAAAGTTTCTCGAAGCAAGGAATGGTCTTCTAAATTAGTTGTACATACTATATATTGAACGAAAATAGTTGGTATATTTAATAATACATAATTTTCATTTAAAAGCCAATTGATAAAATTGGCTTAAATTCATTGGAAATGAAATTTAATAGAAAACATTTTGCATATTTTTATTTATTAATTATATCACCGTTTAGCTGGCGCATAGCATTTCATATTAATGAGTTGCATTTGCGGCACGACACGAAGCTTCGAATTTGATTTATTAAATGAATTTTGTTAAATTTAATTTCATATTAAAATTGAAATGCAATTTCCTGTGCGATGCATATGAAAATGATTGCATTTGTGTACCGCCATTTGCTAAAACCCAGTTAGTTTCCAGTGGATTGTACGCCATTTTGTTGTACTTTACATGTTGCTGAATGTTTCATTGAGTTCAAACTAAAAATGGCGCAGAGTGCAAACCACTAGAAATATAAAAAAAAATAACTCTATTTTCTTATATTTTGTTTTTTGATTTTAGTTGGATTTTGTTGGGTTTTGTTGGTTTTAGTTGGTTTTTGTTGGTTCGCCTTTGGTATTTTTGGTATGCACATGAATTCCTATGAATGAGTAAAAATTATGGTTATTTTAAATTTGTGTGAAACTTAACCGAAACTCAGTCATACGAAATTATGATGATGGTGGTGGTGGATACAACTAGCAACATTACTCACGCTAACAGTCATCTTCGCTGATTTGTAGCAAAATAAATTTCAAAGGTGCACGTTAAGCGCTCAAACTGTAAACTGTAAACTGCAAACTGCAAATTGAAATGAAAAATGTTTATGGTAAAAATGTTGCAGGGTGAAGAAATTATAAGGACACTCGTTATGCGACTGTATAGCAATGGTTATGTTTTGACTTTTTGTGCATTGCGCACAATTTTTTGGCATGCATATGAGCTCATTTTAAGCTTCACTTATGTTTACATATGCAACGTATATCGAAAATATTATGAAACGTGCTTAAGCACAGCATAAAATAAACTTTAGCCTTAGGGCAGGGGTTAAAAATGTGTTACAGCGCCACCTGTTGGTGTTCACATCTAAATACAAAATGTTGCGCAATTTGTGTGCTCTTTTCCTGATTGCTACTGTTGTTGTTGTAGTTGTTGTTGTTTCATTATGTATGGGATGTACGTATAGTTTGGAAATGTGAAAACTTTCATTTTACTTACCTGTCTTTATCTGATGATTTATAACCGGAACTACCTAAAATGAGGAAAATAAAAGAATAAAAAATATTAAAAAATTTGCATAAAAGCTGTTTTGCAAAGTTGATTTAGGAACTGTCTAGGCAGTTGTAGTTGCATAACTTTTAATTATGCAAAGTGCTTTTTAATAAAATATATTTCTATATTTAGAGAATAAATAAATAACATATATGTATGATATATAAAAGTATTTCTATAAGAGAAAATGTATGTAAAAGGAAACAATTGTTAGTTTTTTATTAGCACGTATGTCTTCATAGGGTATTGTAAATTCAGTGTACCATAAATTGCAAGTTCTGGCGCGGCGGTCCAATATTGATAGATGCTAGTATTATTAACATTTTTATTTCCATAGTATATTAACTGTACTGAAAATTGTGTGTCCCGGAGTTGCAGAACGATGAAGATAGTTCTGTTCCAAGAGGAAGTTTTGGGGCTTTCTTGTATTAGTTGAAGAAAGTTCATATACTATAGATACTATAGAAACTGGAATAGTAGTTAAAAAATGACTAGATTCAAACTGCTTACATAGAACTAAGAAAGAAGTTCGTTGACTGTTCAATTTTTGATGTACGGCAAGTCTGTGGTTACTAAAATGGCAAAATGATTTACTCTTGCAAGGATGGTGGAAGAAGTTCAGAAATCCATTCTTCTTTTAATGATGCACATAGTACAGAAGAGGTGTATAATAGATAACAATTGATAATATAATAGAGATATAGAGCGATGGAGCTCACCCTGTCCTCGTGAAGTTATACCAAGCTAGGTTATTTTCTAAAGGACAGCGTTAATTATAGGGTTTAAGGTTTAGTTCGTAGCCGTACTGTATCGCAAGTTTGGCATATGCAAGAGCATTGTACCTGCGTAAACTTGAGAAAGGGTGGTATCGAACATTATGAATCGGGCATTCTTTCACAGCATCTTTAGAAGATTCCATCTCTAATGGAACAAGAAAAAAAGGAGTATAATAATAATATAATATAATACAAATATTAGCGAAATATATAGCACAGATATATTTTAATATTGAGAGTTAAGATTTTGTTAATTATATTTTTCATCTACCATATGTTAAAAGTACTACTAAAGTTTCTTCTACAAAATATATACCTTAATGCTTTTGAAATGCTTTATTATTCAAAAAAGTTATAGAAATATATTTGCTGTTTGCATATTGCAGAAAATAGCGCACGCAATATTCGCCTAGTACTTATAAAATTGTAATTTTTCGGTGGACCACTGTTTATTTTATTATCTTAATCTTCCTTTAGTTTAGAAAATATTTAGGTTAAACGTCCCGCTAAGATGTTTGCGTAAATTGCATAAATCATTCTTTGAGAAAATTAAGTTCTACTTTTATTTATGAAAAATGCTCAGCTGTAGATAAAGTGTTGCTAACCGAAATGCAATGCAGACAGTTAAGAAAAACGGACATACGGAAAAAAACATGGAAAAATGGAATAAGTGAAAATTTATTTATATTTACATTATTAAGGATTGCTTTTTGAAAATGTTGTGTAAATTAATTTTGACAGCAATTGTATACATCGCTCCCATTTGCACAGTTCCTGCTTAAAAAGCTGGTTGCTAGGCAGGATGCTGGCACAATTCGCACATCTGTCAAATTTAGTTTGACATTTCGCAAAGTAGACTGAGAAGTAACTGTTACATTTTCTTATAAAATGAGTAAAAGCGTACACCACAAATTGACAGCTTGATTGACAGTTAAGGAATTAGTATGCGGATCGATACCTACAAAGGGATATGGCATTACAAAAAAAAAAAAACAATAAAAAAATGAAAAAGTAGTGGATTGCAGTCTATTTATTTTCGTCGACTTTAACCGATATACATTTACATATAAGTATTATTTAAAGTTGCTATATCTGAATGAGCTATTAAATTGCCGGAAGATTTTTATATATTTTAATTTTCATTTTCTGCAATCTTTTTCGTCTTTCATTCATAAAAAACCCTTATAAAAGTTGTAAGTAAAAATTTCAAAAGTTTCAAGTTTATTTGTAAAAAGTTTTATTGTAATTTAAGCGAAAATTCAAATCACTTACAAAACAATATCAACAAATAGAAATTGATAGGAGTGTTGAAGCGCAGCAATTGATATCTTAAACTTTCCGAACTTAGATGAAATAATATTAACTTGAATTTTAATTAATTCTAGTTTATTTGAAAGTTTTGGACCGTAAATAACACAAAGACTACTGAAAACTGCAATAAAGACTACATTAAATATTAATCAGAAGCAAAAATAAATATTCTTTGTGAAGGCCAGCAGATTCATTGACAATGTTGCCAAACGATATTTGTTGAACAAAAAATATAAGGAAAAATTAAGAAAAAAAATAAAAATGAAAGTAAAATAGTGATGCCACCTTTCCGTGTCTCTAACTTACCGGTGTGCACGTCGCATACCCTTTTTATTGAGTTAACGTAGAGTAAATAAAAAAATATTGTCATTTCCAGCAGAATTTGCTGATCTAACGAGTATGTTGATATGTACGAGTGGGTATGTTCAGTACGTGGTAGAGGAAACGCAAACGGATGTAATGGTGCAAAGCAAAAACGTAAAGGCAACTCTAACATTTCTCATTTCACTGTAAACAACAGCAAAAGCAATAAAAACAATAACAACAAAAAAACAATAAAAACAACAAACACTCTGCTAGCATCTAAATTACCAAAAAGTTTGCGAACATTTCCATTTCGCAACGAGTGTTGGCTCGCTTCTATGAATATTTTATGAGTTCTATTTGTTCTATTTGTGGACATTTCCAGCGGCACCATGTCATTGAGCGCTCCATGCTCCGTAGCTCTACACAAACAATGCTCTATGCATATTTTTTAAATTTTGCAATTTTTGTCCTTTTGCAATTAGTAAAATACTTACTACAGCTAAAAAGGATAAAAAATAAAAAACTCAAAATGGAATGAAAATGGAAAAGCATACCAGGATTTGTAATGCTTACTTTATTCGTGTTGTTGTTATTATTGTGTTGTTGTTGTGTATTTGTTATTTAGAGAGCACTCGTTACAGTAATTAATAAATACTATTTGAGTTGTTAATTGTTTGTGATTGTTACGATTTTTCCATTTTCAAGCTTCGAAATGTAAACACTCTTTGACAAAAGGTGAACACCTTTTCATGCATAATAAATCAATTAATTTAGAGAAGGGTAGCAGTTGTTAGTTTTTTTTCAATAATTATAGATACTAAATGTGAACGATGTTAAGAAAAAATATAGAAATTATTTAGAAATTATGTAGAGATTATTTTATTATTTATCAATAATAAAAGATTTGCATCGAAATTATAACTTTTGATTTAGCGTTATCGAATCACAAAATGGTTACAGGTTCCTAGGGGAGGTATGCAGATCTGAGGTCATTTATTGCTTAGTCTGATGAAGTGATAAACAATAATCCAGTCAAGGCATAGAGGGGGGTATATAGAATTCTCGCAGTAAATAGAAAGTAAAAGTGTTCAACTGCACTGACTCAACTACCCTTAACATAATAAAAAATATACTCTTATGTAAGAGAATATACAATATATATAATGAGTACAGTCGTACGTACTACATACAGGAGAATAATTAAATACATGCAGGTTAATAAATATTAATTGTATTTATTAAAATTTTATTGCCATATTTATATTTTATGTTGTATTTAAGTATATTTTTAATAAAACAATCATTACGATGACTGGATATGAAGGAACTGACAAAAAATCTTGGTAGTAGTGTTTAGTATGGAAAATTACTTTAAGATAATGTGTTCAGTAATTTAGTGTAGTAATAAAATTTGTATATACTTGTTTCTATAAGATTATAATGCTATCGAATTATTAATAAACTGAGGCAATCAATCTTATTTTTCCCGTATTTTGTAAAACATCAGCTGATTTTTATGTTGTAAAATTAGGTTAGGTTTAGTTATTCCGGCAATCTTAAGTATCCACTTAGGTCTATTAGGTCCCATTGTGTTACTGCATAAGAACTGTGAGGGTAAACGATTGTTTACAGTCGTTTGTAAAAACATAAATACTCTTCAAAAGGAAGTCCTGAAGGATACAAGATCCTTTACAAAGTAAGCCCGTAGCACAGTTATTTGACACTGAGCATACGTTGAACAGTAACAAAGGAGAAGTGAGGCATTTTTATTGTGTGTCGCATAAATGCAACAGGAATAATAAAGGGAAGACACAATTTTCTAGTATGGTTTCATAAACGATTGTGTCACATCAAAAAATCCTCCACAAAACTAATATTTTTAAGGGAAATCTCAATAAGATGGCTGCATATTTTCTTAATAGAACGTATACAAATGCTTCTTTATGATTAAGTTCTTCCACGACCTTTTATCTAATTGTTTAATATAGAAAGATTTTAACAATTGTTTCCATAATGCCAGCGGTATGACTCGATCCTTCAGATGTTCTGAATGATTACCCCAAACACGCAGAGTGGGCTGCTCGTCTGACTTGCAATTGCCGAAAATATCCCTATGACCGGAAACTCAGTGCAGAATAATGTTAAACTGCGTCGACATTTACTTTAGAGATGTGAATCAGTCAAAAACTGTTCTGGATGAAAAATTAAATTGAAATTAGAATCTTTAAAACAGCTTGTTCGTCGGATAGAATGCATGCATTTCTATTCATTGCGTTATATACTTCCAGACAAGCTGTAGCTTCTTTAGTACCGATTATTCTGTTTGAAAAACACTGCATTGATCATAAAGCTTATATTACATATAAGATTTTTTTCAGCACCTCAGAAAAAACTGCTTACATGACTATCTAGTTTTGAGTCGTCAGTATATATGGTTACATTCTCTACCATTGACAGACCTTCCGATAACCAAGTCTCTATTTGAAAAATCGACATTAAGTGTCCTGTTGAAATTGAGAATGGGAAGGATAAGTCAATGTCTCTAAGATTGGGACTGAAGATATTTAGAATAATGTTTTGGCCAGAATCAGTAGGTTTTAACTGTGAAGTAGGTTTAAGTCTAAGAAGAGAGGATGCCGCCATTTTCTTACTTATAAGATCAAGTAAAGCATTTGGTCTAATGTAATGGATGAAATTGTACTCAATACACCTTTAATAAAGAGTTAAGCCCTAAGCCGCATCCTGTAGAGTGCCATACAGTATGAAGGTTTAACCAAGCCCATCCACTATACTATGACGCTATACAGAAATGTAGGTCTTATATTGCTTATTGTTACATAACACCTTATGATTATAATCTAATTAGAGTTAAAAGAATAGATAAGTTCTTCATTAGATCAGCCATTAAATCGGTAATTACATATGGTATGTCAAGCTATTGCTTAGATCGAAACTATTGTTTTCTAGTTTTTAAGGAAATTGATTTTAAAAAAAGTGATTGCTCTTTTTTTTTTAGCACAAAAAAATTAAAAATTAGTTGATAACATATTCCTATCTTAAAAATTTTACCGAAGGAAATACTTAAAGGGTGGGTTCATTCAGATAAATGACATTTGGTCACTTTACCGATTTTTGAGTTATTGAGCTATGTCTATATGTTTCTATTATTATTAAAATAAAATAAAACTTAATGAAAATTTTACTTCTACACTATATTGATTAAATTTTTTCGACGGTAAGAGCATGGTATATATTTGGAATATTACGTTGTTAATGACTTAATTATCATAAAATATTTTCAATATCAAAAGTTTTTCAATCACACTAGCCTTGTAGGGTACTACAATTCTTCGATTAAATCTTCTGCAGTTTGAAAGAAATTAACTAAGCAGCTTAAATAGTTTATGTTTAAATAAGCTAGTTAGTTACCTAACTTATACCTAAATGGCAAAAAATATGAAATAGTTAATTAAGATTAAGATAACATTTAGAGGTACCTAGGTTAACGTCTGCTTTTACAGGGTACTAAACCATAGGTAGTAACTTCTCAACGCGTGTCTACCAGTTCTCGAAGAAAGCACATCATAACACCTGGTGTGGCTATGTCCAGTCTTGACTAGAACTATGCTCAGCGATATCTCCAGCATTAGTATTGGCCAGACTCTTGCCTTTATAAATGCTTTTGGCTGATTCTAGCTTGACCTTCTTCTACCCATTATTACGAAGATTTGTGGATTCAAAACGGCTTTGTTAATTAACTGAGGACGATTCGTTTCTCCCTCCACTTCGACTAACTAACCAACTAAGTTTATCTTAAAAAAGCTTAAAATATAGATAATTGAATCCAACAAAGAAAAAAGACTCTTTTCAATGACAAAAACTTTATTATTGGTTATAACTAATTAATTTTATTTAGATTATTCATTCCCTTTTAAATGAGTATAGTTTTATTTAAAATTTTCTGTTGTTACTTTGGGGTAATATTTGTACCCCTACGCTTTAGTATACTGTAATCTTATGTGCTTAAACTGAACTGACCTAAAACTAATACTTTGCTAATATCCTTTTGTACAATATTTAGAGAAATACTTATTCCTAATGGTATTGATTTCCCTTTGTGTTTAAATGCTCAAAAAAAAATTGCAGTTTAGATACAAAACTTTTTAGTTATGAATATTTTCTGTATATCATGGTTTATTGCCTTTATTTTATGATTCCACGTATGTTATTTTGATGATTTTTTTAAAAAGGTTTAAAATATAAGATGAACCTCCTTTTCTTGTGCTTCTTCTTCGCTTAATCTTTATATCCTATTAACTACCAAACAGAGCTTATTTTTCAAAATGAAATGAAAATTCATTATGATATATATTATATAAAAAAAATTAATATTCCCAAAATCTGTGGTTCTACTTTATAACAATGGCACCAACTTGTGTGTATGGAATTTGTATGTTTTGCAATGAAATAATTAAAATACTTTATATTCGGAGAATGCTCATTACACAACCCTTCAAGGAATTGTGCTGTAACCACACCACGCGAATGAGTAAATAAACAAGCCTTGCATGGCGTGAGCGTTATTGCAGCGCCTGCAGTGCAATGTGCAGCTATGTAAACTGCAGTTGCACAACACACTGCGGCATATTACATATAAAGATTTATTTTCGGAAACAATTTTAATGAAATACTTTCCAGGCAATAGAGACGTATAAGTACGTATGCAGAAGAATTAAAAAAATTTAATAAAAACTCAAATATTTTGTAGCTTAAATGCTTTGCATAATGCACGCCTTGCACACTTCCTACGTGTTTGACTTTGAATTAATTATAAACATAATATACTTGTGTTTGAGTCTCTAAGTAGAGGAAGTAGGGATGATCGGGAACAGAGTTGACTTACCTTTGAAGCAGCATTTTTTACTGCGTACTGCATAAATGCAGAGGCAGATTAAAATCAAAATGGCGGCAACGCAACCACCGGCAATGCCCAGCAAATAACTCATCTCCAAAGGTTCTGCATGTAAGTGCGGAGCGCGCGATTATGTTGCAATTGTTCAATAAGAATATTTAAAGTATCCGCGATTGATTAAATATGTTGTTGTTGTTGTTGTGGTTGTTGTTGTAAAAAGCGCATTTTCCAGAATAGTTGAAATTTTTGTAGTTTCAGGATGTATGGAATTCAATCAGAAGTTTGATTAAAATTTTTCGTCAACAGTTAAAATTTCACATATAATTTACGCAGACATGTAAAGCAGAAAGATTTAAATAATATTAAAATTACAACATTTTTTTTTGTGAAATTAAAAGATTAATGCATGCAAAGCCTCTTTACTTTGTTATTTAATTTTGTGAATTTCTCACATAATTTTCGAGTTACACAATTACACATATACTTGCCTACAACAAATACAATAGCATTAAGTGCATTATTTTAATTTAAATAAATATAACATTTTAATTTTTGTTGCATTAATAATTAAGTCACATTTAATTTTAATATTCTCTTTTTTTTATTTTTTTTTTTTCTATTTACTTTATTTATTAATTTGATTACTTTGTTTCTGGTATGAGTGAGTGTGGGCATGTGCATAAATACTGAATAATTAAATTTGCATTCATATGTAGATTACACAATTACACAACTACACAACAACACTACAGCACAATATGGCACAGCTGTTCTTATCGCTCACATTAATGAAAGCAAACAAATAAAATCTTAATTGCGAAGTGCGAAGGTGTGCGTGTGAATGCTGTGTGAATGCTGTGTGAGTGCTGTGTGCGGGCACGCTTTGCATGTGTGCGTACGTGTAAATTTGTGAATGCATCAAATTAGAAGTTAATTTATGCAAATTAAATTAAAATTGAATTGCTGCTAAAATAACAATTAAATAAATTACTTCGATCGAATGGCAGAGAATCGGAAACGTGTTTAAATATGTGTAAGTGTAAATGTAAGTGTAAGAGCTGTGGATTGGGAAGTATGTGGGTGGGTGAAGTATGTAGGGCAGACATTTATGATGACCTATTTTTAATAAACTATACAAAATGCATACAGCGGAACTTATGTGACATAATTACACAATATAGAAAAAGGACTCATGGAGGAGTGGTTTTGGGTTGCGATTGAAATACGTAATTATTTTGGTATTGATTGAAAATACATATTATCAAAAAGAGGATTTTGTATTTAAAATAATTAATACTTTAAAAAAAAGTTCCAACTTAAATATTTAAATAATACTAAAAATTGAAGTAATATTACCATTGTGCTCATCCTGTTTCTTATGAATAAATATTAAAAATGAAAATAATTAACTAGTTCATATCTTTTAATATTAGTTTTAATTTCAATTCTTAATTAATTTTCTTTTTTTTAATTAATTTTCTAATTTTATGTTTTAAATAAACAACCTAAGCCCAGTAATAATTAAAACTTATAAATTCAAATTCTGATTCTAGTTCTAATATTAATTCCAATTCCAGTTATAATTCTAATTCTAATGGTAATTATAATTGTAATTTTAATATTAATTCTAATTAATTTTCAAATTTTATGTGTAAAATAAACAAACCACGTTTAGTAAAATTCAAAAATTTTTTAACTTTAATTCTAGTTCTAATTTTAATTCTAATTCCAATTCCAGTTATAATTCTAATTCTAATTTCAAAATAATGTATCCATATCTTTATTTCATGTAACAATAAAAATGATTAGAATTAAATGAAAAAGGAGTACTAATCAGTGCTAATAACTACATAATATTATATTGCTATAGAATTTCTTAATCCCCGCAGAAAATATACTTAAGAACAGAATTTTCGCTATTTACTAGGATTAACGATATTAGTTGCCTAAATTTCATAGGTTAGGGTAAGTTGTAGAAATATGAAATTTACTCCTAAGCTAAAGCAATGTCATCTTAAAGTAGTCTTTAGTTTTGAGAGCTTAATGATATCTTATGGAATTGGTATGATTATGAAATAAGCATTTAATTTCAGTTTTGACGTACAATTATGTATAAATATACTCATGGTAATATTTTCGGGAACAACTGAATTAAGATGAATTTATTGGTACTCTTAAAATTATGGCACAGTAAATATTCGATTGGGTCTATTTAAACTAGCATCTATTTGATGCTTGAAATCAGTTTCGTGTAATGAGAATATCTATTTTTCTTCAGCTTAACACACATATATGCCTACAATATTATTTTATTATATACATACAAACATGCTAATCGTATTATTAGCATGACGATTAGCACGATAGCTGGACGCTTATCGTAGCGTCCGGCTATCCCTAATATAAGTAAGCTTATTGGCCCATACCACACTTGAGTAAAATTGAGGTTTAAAATTAGTTTTTATAACAGTTTTCAGTGAGCACTTTTGGATTGAAATTTTACTCTTGTTGCTCTTGTAAGGTTATCAAAGCAATACATGCACTATATTTTTCTTCTGTCATTTTCGATATTTTCTAGTTTATATTTACAAGGGCATTTTATTTATATTGCCAAAACGGAAGAGTGAGCAGCAAAAGTAAAAACTTTATATATAATTTGATAAATGTTAAATTAATTATCAAAATTATTCTTTTGCTTTTCTACATACACATACAGACACAATCAAGCAGAATTCATATATATGAATTTCAAATCTCTAGAATTGATCAGTTAGCAACCATTAAAAATTACTCAAGTGTGACATGGACCAATGACTTTATATATCTTAATCCATAATGAGTATTGCCATGCAATTAATTCGTATAACTTTTGAATGTAAATGTTGATTTGTCATATCATATACAAACCTGTTAAAACTCCTAACGGTTTATATACTTCATTAGAGTATTATTAATTGCTTTACATATTATATTTATACCAGAAATGAAATAATTTGTTTTAGGATAGAAATGAAAGTTATATTGCATTGAAAAATGCAGATTTCATTAAAATTACTGTAAAATTTTGTATTGTGTTGTGACATATAATGTTTAATTATTTCTCTTGTATTATATTTATTTGCTACACATCTATCAATAGAGTAAGGTAATAATATTTTAGTGCAACACTGATTATGTTGTATATAAAATTATAAAAATTCATTTTTTACAGTTAAAAAAAAATGTCTTTTACTCCACCTCAACCACACAATTTTAGTATACAAATTAAGTGACTCGTACACATAAATTTGCGCAAAGTAATATTTATAGCATGCAACACATAAATAACACATAAAATTTATAGCATGCAATACACATATATAAGAAACAAATGAAAATTAACGTTCTGCACCTGCAAACGTACCCTCCACATTCAAATGTATGGCATGACGATCGGTGCCGCGTTCATTCTCCACAACCAAGTAATAAGGACGTGAATCATGTTCATCGGTGCGCTCAATATGCAATGTGGATAAGTAACAATCTTCGCGTGAGTCTGGCAGTATATCATCGGCATGAAAACGTTCTGCTTGTAGTGCACATCATATCACACACACACACACATACCACACACAGTTGTGAGGCCAATGGTAAATACACGTATATGTATAGACGACACATACAAGTATGCAAATATATAGTCCAGCCAAGTTCACGTACAGACGATTGTGGAAAGTTTGATTTGATTGGTGAATGTATGCAAAAATTTGGCAGTTGTGACAGTTTGACAGTGATTGAGTTCGTCGAAATGTTAAAAGTTTACCAGCAACATAATTAGTAACGGAAATGGTTCGATAACCACGAATTGCACCATTTCCGGTTTATTTGACGTTTATATTTGACAAAATTGGTGCATTCGTATATGTTGTCGTTGATCGTTGTTGTTGTTGTTGTTGTTGTTGCATTTGATTGTTATTGTTGTTGGCAATTTAAAGTTTTCAGCATTCAACAATCCGAATTTGTACGTTTCATTTGCAGTAGTTTCAGTTTATTTATAGTTGGAACATGAAAGTAGAACAGAAAAGAAGAAGAAAAAAAAGGATACAAATAAAAATGAGTTAATAAAACAGTTTTACTGCATTTGTTTGAATTTGTTTTTTACATAATACACATTATATAATAGGAAAATATAAATAATAAATATTTTAAAAGTGTAAAATTTGTTTTTTCCTTAAATTATTATTACTGTAATAACAAAATTTTTGCTATAATTAAAAACTTTTCTCCCAAAAAACTGCAAAACTGTTGTGTAGAAAAATCCGAATCCCTGCAAAAAGCGCATTCGAAGCGCATTTCCAGCAATTTTGTTGATATTATCAACAAAAACAAGTTGAAATTATAGTGAAAATGCAAATGAAATGCGCAAAACTTTTATTGTTTGTTTCGAACTCGTAATTCGAATGGCATGTTGAGTGGTTGTTTATATAACTTTTTTTGGTGGTTCTTATTTTTTTGTGGTTTAATGTGATACTTTAGTAAAACATCGAGAAAATGATAAAAATACAAGCTTCATTAAGTAAGCATTTCAAACAAATTACTTGCTTCCGAGAAAATGTCATTCAAATAATAAAAATTTTTATTATTTAGAGTTTCGATAATTTCCCAAAAATGGTTTAATTTTTGTGAAAATGTCTGAAAAATTCCGAATGATTTAATTCCATGAAGTTTTTAAGTTAAACTAGTATTCTGTTGTGAATTTTATGTATCATTATACATGAAGCTTTTCAAATATTTAAATTTTCAACTGAATATGAAATAGTGGTTCCGAAAACTTAGGGAAGGGAACTTAAGACTACTTAAGTATGAACTTTCATTGAGTTCGAGTCAAGTCCGGATCTTGTTTATCCGAAATCAGAATACTTAGGGTTTTTAAGATTACGTAAGTATGAAGTTTCATCGAGTTCGAGTCAAGTCTCGATCTTATTTTCAACTTAAGTCACTAAAAGATAAAATATTCAAAAATGGTTAACATTTCAGAATTCAATAGCAATTCCTACAGCTGAATCCTTTCATAACAAACAAAATTAAAAAGTTTGTAAGACTTTGGTATTAGTAATTAGATTTTTAACTGTGTTTTGTAGTCGTGCGAAAATATTAGGAAGAAAACGAACTTAATGTTACTTATTAATCAGTTTATTCATTTTTAATAATATTTATTTAGGTCTATTCGGTAGTTTTTTTAGGTCAAGAGACAAATAATTAGGTAATACTTAGCATTTTAAACGCGTCTTAAAATTAAATATAATCCTAAAAACGCGTACACATCAAGGTTTACAATTGAGTTCTGTATAGGAAATTATTATCAATATACTCGATGCATCTAAGTGGAGTCAAATCAGGTGCATTCATTTTATATTTAACTCTGTCATTTTAGTAGCTTTCTTAGGTTAAGACAGAAAAAAATGAAGAAATTGTAACAAATTAAGAAACTTGTTTGTAATTCTCGACTTACTTCAATTACAAAAGCTACCAGTCTTGAAAAATTTTCAATAACATAAGAAGTTTTATTTGGTTTTATGGAAGAAATTATGTTGCATTTTGATCCTTTGCAACTTGTTCCTATTCTTATCATTCTAAAAAACAAAAACTCCGTTTTATGTTTGCCCTAAGCTTTGAATTATTTTTAAATTTTCATCGGCGGGGGTTGAAATTCAGACACATTGAGTTTTATAGCCGAGTCCCATATCCGAAGTTACTACCTATACACTTGATGGGCCCAAACAGAGTCAAATCGAACACCCTATATTTGTTTTGAGCATTTTAAGCTTCGTGTGTTGTAGCTGAATGCTATATACAAAGATATTGCGTAAAGATACTGCCGTTAAACACATTTTTCGTGTAATATAGAAGTTTTAAATGGAACAACCTCTTACGAAGTGAAGAAAAATCTATTCGGAGTATAAAACTGAATAACATTGAGAAAACTTTTTATCAAAACTTATTTGATTCCAAAACGAAGATAGCATTTTTTTAATCAGATAGCATATTTATAAATATAATAATGGTTCTTATAAATTTTTATTCGGTTATAGGTCCGTATTTGTTAAAATTAAAATTTAATGTTGGTTTAATACTTTTTAATGTATTCTTTATTGCGACTCTCATTGAGAGTCATCGTCAAGATTAGGATGTAACGTAAAATAATATTAATAAAATCTATATCTAAACGTCATGCTCTTGATTCCGTTGTTTATATTCAAAATTTAATAATAGAATATATTCATAATTAAATTAAGATTTCGCGGCATCTGATAGTATCTTCACAAAACAACTACTGCAGATGAGGAACAAACGTTAATATGACTTTAAATAATTATCAATACCATAAAAAGGTTAAACTATATTTCAATTGAATAGAGAAAAATTAGAGTTGTTATTTATAAATACGATTGTTATGAAATTTAAATTAATTAATTTCTCATTTATTTTAATAAAAACTCTCTCTGTCAAAACAGAATTAAAATTGATCAATTATGTTCTCAGAATTTTTTTAAAATGGATATGGCAGCCCAGCTCTTTTAATTAGAAAATATAAGCGAAAAGTTGTTTGGACACCATTAAACAATTGAATTGACACAATTGAACTGAACCCAAAACATTCTACCATACGGAAATGGACATCTGCTTAGTATAGTGGCAAATTCTAAATATTCCATTCAATTATCAATTGGGTAAAAGAATGCGGTTACAACCAAACATGTGCTTATATACATATACATTTATATAAGCACATTTTTTTAATCAAGCAGCTTTAGGAATGGTAAACTTATTACCTTCCAATGGGAAATCAGTCTTCAATTGCCCCAATTCCCTAAATGAGGTAGCGCAACAGTTCATAAATATTATTAGAGTGTATGAACGCAGTTGCGATAGGCAAGAAAAATGTTATTATTCTTACAGAAAAAGAACGGATTTATGCACCTTTACCCACTTGAATCGGAAATATATGAGGACATACTAGACTCATTTGGCCTAATCACGAAAGTGTTTTTTAATACGAAGTGATAAAATCTCAATCTTTATTCGTGTACTTACAAGAAAATGTCTTATAGATTGTCACATCTTAAAAATGGATATTAAAACAAATGATTACAGCCTAAGCAGTGCGATAATACGCTGCATCTTTTTAGCGTATTATTTAAGGAGAATAATGACATTAACTAAATATCTGCTGAAGAATATTTACCAAAATGATGGTTTGTGATAATTTTGACAACGAAATAATTTATACTAAATCTATTGGTTCCCAATTTACGAGACTCGGTGACTACACGTACTTGCTTTTTAGTGCTAGAGAACTTGAATAATTTTACAACCCATTGAAAATTCTTTAGACTAGAATAATAGATCTTAAATAGTACAGTGAAAACGGATCGTAAAACTGAAGAAGAATCTAAAAATAATGTCTAATTTTTTCTTATCTCATAAAAAAGTAAAGTATTTATAAGTTAAAATTTATTGGAGGTCAATTGTGAGAAAGCTAAAGTCCATTACTGCCAAATATTATAATATAGCATGATTTAAAAAATAACGTTTAGAGAAAAACTTTAAGTAACAGATTACAGATAACAGATAGTATCTGTTGCACTTAATTTCGTAAAGTTGCCATAATTTCGTATTGTTGTATGATTAAGTGCACGCTTTATGATTATACAACATCCTTATAGTATCTATCAAATACATTCGAATAATATCAAAAACGTTTTGACTTTTTTTTGTCTATTTTAAATCTTAATTAATATGTTATAGGTGGAAAGTAGCGCTGCTGCTAATGATAGCTGGGCAATTGAAATTTGTTGAAGAAGTAAAGCTGATACAGTCAAGAATAGGTTATGAGAGAGGTTGTTGTTAACATTATATGGTGTTGGGTCAGTTGGTAAATGAACACTGACTCTGAGTTTCATATTTGGCAGGACACGAAATCAATACTTGGTACTTGCAGTCTCAAAAAATTATTTACGAATAATTTAATAAAAGAAATATTCCAAGACCACTGATGATGGACATTTGGCAATACTTGAAATAGCCAAAAATTCAATTATTTAATAAATAATAAAATTTTATTGTTGTAATTTATTACTGTTCGAAATACCCCTCTATTGAAATTATGAGTTCAAATCAAGAATTTAGTTTCTTTCGTCGAAACGGATGTAGTAATACATTATATCATGTTTTATTGCACTTTCATATACAAAAATATTATAAATTTACATCAACGCTAGTTTAAAATGGTTGATCTTTAAGCTACATTTTGCCTTACTTGAGCGAAGCAAAGCAGCTTATTTACGCTATATGAGCTTTGCAGTCAAACTACTGTACTTAAACTTTGGAGGCTTTTGCCTCCAAAGTAGCCGATAGATTTTATTCAACCGATTGTTATATGCCATGAGCTGCTTAATATAAATATCTGATATCAAGTTGTATAGATCGTATGGGAATAAAGTTTACCGCACTTGTTCAATTGTGATATTTTAGAAAAGACTTCACTGGAACTTCATTTGATGCTACCAAAATGCTACGTGAAAATCGTTAAATCACGCCCATGTCAATTTATTTCTTCCCGCACAACCACGTAAACCAAATAACAACGTTCGCCAACCAAAAAGGATAATACGACAAGAACAAAAGCTAAAAATCCGCGCTGCGATTTTAGCTGCGAAAACTGAAAGCCACAAAACAACGAAATCGATGCTTGAATAAATCGAAAACGGAAACGAAATTTTTGTTTAAATAAAGAGTACCAGTGCTTCACAGGATTGCTGAAGTGCTGTTACGTGCGGAACGCTGTCCAAAGGAACAAAATCGAAAATCACGAAAAAATCCATATAGTTAAAACGAGCAAAAAATATTTATAACAGTTGAACGCATCCAGTGGCAAAGGAGCGCCATTGCTTAGAAGGACGACATAGCAATGCAAATATTGCAACGCGCAAAGGATACGTAAAGGACACGTATGAGTTATGCTAGTGTACACAAATATTTTACGTTTCAGATGATATATGCAGCGCTAGTAATCGAGCTACCGAGAAGCATATACGTATACAAAATTTAGCACAACACTAGAGCCTGCAAGCGTGTGTTTGGTCAATAAGCATCCTTAAGTTCGATGTATAGTTTTAAGCAGACTCCTTTCGCAACTGTAGTGGCGGAGGAAAAATCAGTTGTGAAGTGCGCTAAATACAAACCACAAATGGGGTAAGGTAAGTGCAGTCGATGAGTACCTTTTTTGTGGCTCGAAACTATTGTTTTGGCTTTTATTACTTTTTCTTTTAGGTTCTTTTTATTATTGTAGTTTTCATTGTTACTACATCATTGAATCTTTTTGAGAATGTAAACAAAATGCAATCCTTTTTTGTGGAGCTTTTAGTGTTTGTTTAGCCTTGATCGAAACTTTGAATATGTTTTCGCAAAAATATTGAAAAACATTGTTAAAATCATTTAGCCGAGTATTTTTGAAATATTTTTTAGAGAATTTTTTTAAGTGAGAGTCTGAGTCACTTTTTTACCAGGTTTCGCAAAAATTAGTTCAATATTTAGTTCTGATGTATACAAGGGTTTATTTCTATGGTAATATTTTATTTGATTTAGATTTTGCTATAATGTATTTCCAAATGTGCCAAAACAATACTTAGCTAACTTAGGGTTTCTAAGTGGTCTCATACCCTAATTTTAGGAACATGTTAGTTGTGCCAAGGGAGCTATTCATGATCAGGATAGCAATACTTAATTTAAAGAAACGATCAACGCTTTTAATTTTAATACTTGATATATCAAACAGACCACGAAGAGAGACTTTAAGAGAGATACACGTCTTCTGATGAATGCTGGGTTGTGATAGAGGAGATGAGTGATACTTTCCTCTTGTTCATTTTAGTCATAGCTACAATGACAGTTGTTGAAAAGTGATTTCAATCGGTGCTGGGCGAGCACGACTACATAGTTTCTCTATTGTATCGTACGACTGGTTTCTTTGGTTTTCATTAGAGATGAAACAACATTATTTATTAATTGTGTATTGTTCGAGTCTTTTACTTTCAAACAGTCTTTCTATAGTTTAATAAACTCCTGCTAATGTTTCCAAGTTTTCTAAAGCTTTTTAAATGATTAAATTTGCCTTAGAGTGAAAAACAAATTGCATAGCTTGAACAAAATCTCTTTCTATTGATTCATTTTTTCAAGTTTGGAAACATAACATACAATAGTTGATGAACGTTAAGTCTAAAGTTTACTGTGTCAAGGCTTGAGTGAATAAAAAAATTTGGAAAATTAAAAAATAGCGTAAAAATTGTAGACAGTTTTCATTTTATATCGCCATTGTTTTAAAGTTTTTTAAAATGACAAATTTGTATCTATAGCACAGGGAGTTCTACATAATCGGCATACTGAGCAAGCAATTTGTGCAGTTATTGATCGATTTCGCACTTATTTTACTCTGCCCGATTCGAAACCATCAACAATTGATTGTTTGGTGCTGTTAACATCTGGCTTAATCGATTTGTTGCAAAATCAGTTTGGTAACAACTTTATTTTCAGAAGTGGTCGTGTTAATTGGCCCCTCGTTAGTGCGATTTAACGTCTCTCTTTAAGGATTACTGTTTATGCCATTGATTTATGCTGACAAACAAGCAACTCCTGAAGCACCGAAAACTAATGTTCATACTACCATTGACGCCACACGACCACATTTATTGCAAAAAATTTTTAAAAATTGGACTGATCGAATGGACCATGTAACTCGTAGCCCCGGTGTACATATGCCGAAAATCATAAACAGGAAATAAATGCCATGAAATTATCAACCAGATTTAACAATGTTTGGGTCTTGTAATATTAATTTAAGTACTTATGCAGCTAAAAAACACTCGATATATATAAAATTATTTTTTGACCGTCGTGGTGATTGTGTTCTATAGAAAATAATGACTGATTAGCATTCTTCAGTCTAAACTTTCGTCAAAATATATTATCATATTATCTACATAAAAATATTATACATATCATCTTTAATACATATGTGAAAATATCGATGGTAGTATTGAGTTGAAGGGAATAAAGCCAGGTATTTGTAAAATTTGCATTATGTGTTATATGGTATATAAATACCATAGTTAACATATATGTGAGTTATACAGTAATTTTTTAAGCAGATTTAATTGCTAATCCTTGGTATAACATAAGATTTGATTTAATATATCAATTATAAACTGCAAATACAATTTCTAATAATTTTTAGGAATTTTTAATGTGATAGTTAGATTGTATATCTTACCGATTCCGTTGCCAGCCTCCAATCGCAATGAACCCCATTCCCAAGCTACACGATGTGGACGTGGATCAGCACACACAACCAGTGACATACTAGCTGGTTCTCCGCGTTTAATGGAAACTGTATGCAATGAAGGATGTAGGCGTAGTACTTGCGGTGCTCCTGAAAACAGCAAAAAGAAACAACCAATTAAAAATAAATGAATATACTATATTAAATTGTAGTTTTACTAGAACGCAGTGAACAGTGGTTTGTAGTAAATTTCAGTAAAACAAAAGAATAAATAGTCATCGCCAGGATGCAAAAACCACTACCAGCAACAAACCTGACTGCAGATTGGAGTTGAGCAAATGCAATTTTGCATTTCTGCTGCAGTGGCTGTTGTTGCTGGAAGATTTGTTGCCATTGAACTGCGTTGCTGCCAGTGTATCTAAATCAAAAACTCATTTGTGAGTTGCTGTAGGTGTACAGCTTAAGCCAAACGGCAAAGGTAAATTAATGGATAAGTGGAAAAAAATTACAAAATATTTTCTTAACAGTTTCATTGTGTACTTTAACGAGATAAGGATTTGCTACAAATTGCAGCTAAATCATGTACAGTATTTACTGAAAGCCATTAAAATCATTTGAGCAATACAAGTTAACGAGCTGTAGTGTTGGTCTTTTAATTTTGCACAATTGCTGTTCCTTTTTTTTTTTAACGATTATTTTAATACTTTTTGAAGGAGACTTTTGCCTTCCAATGCTTTGTGGATAATAAAAAAGGAAAAGAATTTTAAATTTAAATTCAAATATGCTCGTCCTCCAACAGTAAAAACCAATGACAAGCATAAATTTATGGTAGCAACCAGCAACCGGCAACCAGCAACCAGCAACGAGTAAACTGTAAGTTAGCAACTCAGCTCATTGCCATGCTGCAAATGTTACTTGCAATGGCAATAGTTTATGCTGAGCACCTTTAGTCGCAGACGAGTAACAGCAATTCGTAAGCACAGAAAAGTAAAAGATACAAAATGCAGTAACTTCTATGCTACATTGCGGTTGCTTATATTTTAACTTTCAACTCCTCACCCTACCGTGCAATAAATGAGCTCCAAACATTTTTTATTGTAGTTTTTGCTTAAAAGGATTTTCAAGCTTATATCTATGTAAAGCTATAGCTTAGTAGTTATAATAAGAAGAAGAATAAAATTAGAAAAATATGATAGTCCAGAAGTTGTGGTTAGTAACAACAACAACAAATTGTAGTAACAACTACAAATAACAATAACAACAACAACTCAACTTAACTTCATACTCGTACATGGTCAGTTGAGCAGAAAATTTATTTTCCTGTTAGTTATTCCCAAAGGAGATGGAGGTAAAGGATACACTTCGTATGTTTAGATAAATTTTTCTCTGTTTGTTTTACACAACCAATACTTAATACATGTATATACTCATATACAAACAAATAACTGGAGTTGCCACCTGTTTTATATTTTTTATGTTATAAGTTTTTTTTTGTGGGAATGCTGGTCTGCTTCTTGTTGGTTATAAATTATGTGCGTTTAGCGGCTCAGTAGTAAATTTAAAAATTTTTCACTTTATTTGTACTTGAGTAACAAATTTGTTTATCTTTTTTGTGGTTAGTCTGGTATTGAAGTAAAGGAGTGTTAAATAGTTCAGATGCTTAGAATTGCAACGCAGTAAGTGCCGCTTACACACCGTAGAGACCATCAAGGATTGCCGTTTCAAATGTTTGAAACTCTTTTGGGTTAATAAAGAATTTCTATACATACGTATATTCATAATATATTTTTCTCTATCAATTTATTATTTTATCAAAAGGGCAAAGTAGTTCTGTGTTTTCAACATGTAAATTAAACTTATAAACATTTAGAATGCCTAATCTAGAATGGAAAATATTTTGGTATAATTTTGCAGCAGTTGTGAGTTTGGTAAGGCATCGAATAGAGTAAGCCTAGATAAAGAAACGTTTTACTATAATATTTTTTCAAATACCCATCAAATTATTTCTATAAGATGGTAATGCTTTTTGTTCACTTTTGCTTCTAAAGTATCTTTAATAATTAATAGGCTCCGATCAGCTCTCAAAAGTACACACCTATCAGGAATTATTGCAACTTTAAAACAATATAAAAAGTCCGTTTTTATATAAAGAGCTTGGCATAAAATGAAATTTCGATTTAACCATCAGGCAAGGTATTACACCAGTTATCACTAATTCACTAATTGAATCATTTCTTTAACCCACACTTTTAATATCGTTATATAATATAAAAGGGCTTTAATTCTCCACAGTAAAAGATATCATAAATATCTGCGATACATAAACCGCGAAAAAATCGACAATATGACATATCAAATCACTAAATAAATCTACATCAGTTGCTATCGATAGTCATAGAATTATTATTCCTCAAACGTTTTACACTGATAATCGAAGTGAATAGACAAATTCTGAGTAAGTTTATAGACTAATCGGAAAAATCCATGGAGCTTATGAATATAAAACGTATTTATAGATATTTCATAAACATATAGGCATACCCGTTATGCCATGAAAGTCTTCTTCTCAAGAGTAATTATTACAATTATTACAGAATATTTACTTCACACTCCTAAAATCATATCTATTCTCAAGGCACTCTTATTTAAAAATGGAAACCAGATTATATAATTTCATACTGTAGAAGCTGCGGTACCTCAACGTAGCATTGTAAGACCAATGATATATCTCTTGTGTGTAGCAAACCTTCCACTTATTAAAGCAGATGTAATTGGCATATTTGGGGACCATACAGTAGTCTTATCCATTGATAATTTTCCAAGCAAAGCATCTGAAAAACTGTAGATGTACGTTACCTGTATCGATCTGTGGATAAAATCCAACTCCGTCCAGGCCACAATTTACCAATAGATAATCTAGTTGGTTGGCAAGTCCCAAAAAATTTTATACAATACAAAAATTCTATACAATTTACAGGTTGTAGTAAAATACTAAGGAATTTGCCTGAATAGTAAATTGACAGGTAGAACTCATATTTCTCTGTGAATGCCCAGCTCTAGCATCCAGAAGATATAGGTTCTTAGGAAAATACTTTTGTGATAGTTTATCAGACTGCTCAATGGTGAAGATGAAAGACCTATTAAATTACCTAAATTCAGTGGGATGGATTTAGTCTCTACTCTTCTATACTAGCGTTCTTGCGAGGAATGTGGTAACAAAACGGCGAAAAATCGCTAATTGAGGTACATTTGAAGTTATCTTATGGCTTGCCACTGCAACCAACCAACCAACCAGAACTCATATTCTCAATAAATGGAAAGTTTTTGGCCTGAAACTTCAAAACTTCTTAGTAGAAATTATTAATTTTTATTATTTTATTCTAATTTATACAAATGTACTAAAGTTTATCTTGAGTTATGGATTATAAGTATGTAGGATCTTAAATATGGCTATATGAACTCATGTAGCTAAGCACTCAAGAACTCATACAGCTACAACAACTCATATATGAGCTAAGAACTAATTTCATTTGAAGTTAAATTTTTAAATTTAACAAAGAAATAGGTTTTTGTCATGGATTATACAATTTTAATTTAGAGTTTCGAAATAAATTAATTAATTAAATTAATTTCGAAGTAAATATTTTGTTACTTACCTACAACCTGTAGTGATACTGGTTCAGATACTGCAACTCTTTCTTGTCCATTAATGTAGCTAGTAGCTCGGCATTCATAATCTCCTTGATAATCGTATGTTACATTATCTATTACTAAACGAGATTCATGACCACGTTCAACATACTTAGCCCCTCGTGAAAACCTGTAGGAAGCAATTATGAAGGATATTAGTTCACATAAAGTTGTATATTTAAATGTTCAAATAGAAAAACTTTTATTTAGCATTTATAAAAATGTTTTAATAACTTTCATTTACATAGATATAATACTGTGCAGATACAACAGTTATACCAAAAGATTTTCGTGGTTCTTATTTTATAGCAGTGTTTCATGGAGATTTGCTAAACTGAATTATCATCCAAGGCTCCACACATTTTGTTTAAGGATTGAAATTTTATGAAATTGATTCTAATTTTGTAAAAATAAACGATTGTAAAAATCGTTGAAAGTGGTTTAATTATGTAAATATCAACAGAAGTGACGATTTTGGGTAGGTACATTTCGCATCGATTACTTCTGCAGTAAAAAGGCTTATTTTTTATTTAGTTAATATGTCGATAAACAAAAGTGTAACATCTGGTTAGAGAAAGCAGACCTATGCATCTCTCCACAACAACTCAATCTGTGTTGTAGTATTTAGTCTGAATATCTGATGGCCTGTTACGTTTTTGAATAGGACGATCATGTGATAAAACCGTCAATTCTAATCGTTCTAATCATTGTATTTTAATTTATTATTATTGTGACATTACTCCGCCTAAGCGGTTGTTTTAAAATAATGTTTTTAAAGGTTTTAAAATAATTAAAATTATATTTAGTGTTTATTGTGTTAAATTTGCTCATATATGATGATTTTTGGAACATTTGTAAATGTTTTTTTTTAAAAAAAAATTTTAATAAGATTTTTATAAACCTAAAAATTTTTTTGCTTTTTTACAAAAATTAAGCACTGATAAAGTTCTAAAAAACAGAGCGATATATATGCTGAAAATTTTTAAATAAAAGCTTTTTAATTTGGTTTGTCTGCTAGTCGATAAACAATTTTATTTCTAAATTCTAATAGTTACAATCGGATTACTAAATTTTTTTTAAAGTGAAAATGGAAACATTGTGGTAAAAGATATGTAGTTTCACCAAGACGTTGCCATAAGTTCGTTCTGTTTTATAACGTTCTGTTTTAGATATTTTGAGTGTGAATATTATCATGACGTCTTGATAATATGATTCGGATATAATACTATAAAATGTTCCGTGAAGAACATGTAAATAATGTTGTACTCCCTACTTAATGGTAAGGTTCAAACAATTTACTTGAATAACGTGTTAATTAAATAAAATAAGAAATCTATTGGTAGATAATGGGCGAGTTACGGTTACGGGTTATTATATGGCAATAACAGTTTGTAATGGTTTGTAAAGTGTACTTTTTAGTTGTTTAATACCATTGTTAGATTTTGTCTTCGATAATATCATTAAGATTATTAAGTTATAAATTCTTTTTAACTTTTATATTATTAAATAAAATAATATAAACCTGCCATTGCAAAGAAGAATTCTTAAATTTAAAATTCTGTTTTACTGAGTTTCATTAAGTAAAAAAATAAATGAGATTTCTTTCAAATGAAATATTTCAAATCTCTTAGAAATCTGCGGTTATTCTACATACTATATCAACGCACAAATTGAATTCTATTCAAAGATTTATATGTTGATAATAAAGTTGATTCTTTTGCATTGCATTTCTCTGTTTGCAGCCATAAACGTTTAACTTCTTTTATTGCAACTTCAATAAATTTTAAATCTACTTGCAACAATCACCAGTGCGTAAATATCTTTTGCATAAAAAAGCAATATTTATTATGTTTGCTTCTATGGCACGTTCAGTGAAAGACTGTCTCATCAAGAATCCGATGCTTTTCATCAATAATTCTGTAGCTTGTGTAGTATCTTGTCGATGAGGAAAGTATAAAAATATTAATAATACTCGTAATATCATTGAGAACATGCATCAACAAAGAGTAGATAAAAATCACATGAGAAATATTAAATCGGAATATTAAAATTTGTATGCATTTTTTGTCTTCTATTTACTTTGTAAAAATTACACATTGAAGGCGAAATAGATGCACTTGTAGAATAGAATTGCATATGCGATAAAAGCAGTAGAAAGATATAAGGTAACATATATGAAATATATGAAAAAGAGATAGTTTTATTGTCTGAAAAATTTTTTTTATCAAAGTACTCTTTTGTTAGCCATATAATGCTTTGTTTAAGAGAATATTGCAATTCCAAGAATTTAAAAAAGCTTTAAAAATAATTTGATAAAATATCTTCTACTAAGTTAATAACAATTATCTATTATTATTAACTAATATTTGGACAAATATTATTACGTTTTTTGTAAATTCATTATTATTATTTTTATTTGCTCTCGCTTTTTGGAAACCAAGCCTTCTCTTTGGTGAGATGTCTGTATATCCTCTACAATTCTAATATTCTCGTTTTAAATAATTGGTATGAATAATAAGTCAAAAATGCTTTTATTTAAAATATTGTTTGTTGTCTGTAACTTGATTGAATATCCATCAAAAAGTAGCTAATTAAGTCGAATAATACTTTAGTGCCTTGAGAGCTCACATGCTTTCCGTCGTTCCTTACATTTCTCATAAAACTGAAATCATCAATTAAGTTACCAACATTTAAATGACTTCTGAGTTGTAAATCCCTGACGTGCAACAAGACAAATTTTATACATTAATTTTATCTCATTACTGTACAGATATGTGGCAAGCCCCGCACACACACGCTCTCAGAGCAAAGTATCTGTGTTTGTTTGTAATTGTGTTAGTGTGTAGCGAATGAAATTGAAAAATTGCAATTTCAAATCACGTAAATAAGAATGACAGTAAAATTTGCTAAAGAAAAGCAACAACAGCAGCAACATTGCTAGCAATATACTTGACAGCAGCAACAAAGCGGAAAAGGTGCTTTGATTTCTACTTAATTTAAGTTGAAAGCACGCAGAACTTAAGCAAAAATGAAGGAAAGTTTTTTCATCTGGCAGCTCCGCACACTAATAGTTGCCACATGAGGCTTTGTCTGGCGCACATAAAAAACTTTTAATTTTTATATTTATAATGCGTTTTTCTTAAAGATTCTTTTTGCTTTTTCCATTTTTAATTTCTTCTTCTTACATTTTTAACTTCTGCTGCTGTTGCTATAGAAATTAAATGGCAATTGAGCAGCAACAGCAGCACAAAACTTTTTATCAATTCTCAGAATTACACAGATACTTCAGTTATGGATACATACATATATACTCGCACTCGTATGAAATGTTGAAGAAAATGAATGCTTCAAAAGTTGCTGGCAAATTGGTTGTGAAATATGCAACATAATAAAGATAGATATGCAAGACAGCATACCAAGCCAATATAGAATCTTTTAAAGGAATATATTATATGGCAAAGGATTTTTATTTATAGTCGTACTTTACACTTTATTTACTTGTGTATTGAAAAAGGCATTTGCAAAAAGTAAAAAGTATTTCAAATTTATAATCATACATAATAATATTGTGAGTATCTTTTGCAATGCTAAATAGTATTCAAGTTTTTTTACTTACTTTTATTGGATAAGTACTCCACCACATATAGTATATTTTTATTTAAGAAAGACATACAAAATAACTTCGATGACATTAATGTGATTTCCCATTTTATATTCAAAATACCATATGATTCAAGTACATGTAGGACTATGATATGGGGAACTTAAAAACACTAATAAGGTCATTATAAATTTAATAATATTAATCACTTGAATATGGTTGAATATATAAGACTTGTTAAAGAAGGTACCATTTTAAGTGTACAAAACTGTGAACGTTTTTTATAAAAGTAGTAGCAGATTTTTATTAAAATTCTTCTTATGTTAGTCCTAGCAGCAATGTCACCACAAGAAACACTCTAAAGTCGACTAATAATTTTAAAGTATAATAATACCCACGACACTGTTAGAACATATTACTTAAATTACAGTTCTGTGAATTTGTATAATTCTAGCAAATAGTCTAGCTTGGATACTACTAATAAGACTATTAAGACGACATTTTCAAAATTTGCTGTAACGTCGTACTGCAATAGTGATCCAACAATGAGATCATTTCCCACATTATTGGAAAGTCAAATGGTAGCACAGTCATGTATACACTTACAGAGAAATGAGGAATGCCGAAAATCGCAGAATTGATAGAATCTGAATCAGTCGCCAACGACTGGGTTTATTTTAAAACACTAGGAAGTAAGAGGAAGTAATTATGTACAAATTTTTATGAAATTTCTACTTTAAGAATTTGCAGAAGAGATACGGTTAATAAAATAAGGTTTCTTAATAAATTTGTAACGTTTATTGTTGAAACCAGATGGTTGACAAGTACGAGTAATGAATAAGAATAAGAGAGATATTTCCATAGTATCTGATTAAATCTCAGGTATAAATTGCTTAATCGTTGGGACTGCCATATTACTAATAATAACAAATTCTACTATAAACCATTCCCGACTTTCTAATTTAGTGCGTGTAAGAGTTGTGGCTTTGTAGCATAAATAATATTTTACGACACAACTATTATAAATTTAAGTAAATTAGAGAAAAGATATAAAATCGCTTGCACTTAAATTATTTAGGACGATACCTTATTTAGATAGGCATTTTTAATAATTTTAATTATTTATACATAGAATATGATATTTCAGAATGTGGCAACATATTATGTTATAATACATGGTTCACATGATTGAAAGAAATAAAAACATATACTTAATTGAATGACAGTATATGTGAATAGCGGTTTATAGCATGAATAGTGGTTTATAACATGAATAGTTCACGTACTAATAAGTTTATATAACCGAGCGCTTAGGGCCCGAAAGAACATTTTTGTGGTACATATATTTTTGGGATTGACAATTTTCTTCGTTACATATGTTAGTATAGTAGGCAAATGTATATTACTATTTAATGCTGTCATACCATTGTTTTTAGTGCTACTATTTAGCACTGTCGCTGTCGTTTATTTTAACGCATATCCTTGAGTTAAGGCGAGTATGAGTGTATGCATAGGTGGAGTGAAATACG